TGAGTGAGCTATCAGGCTATTAGCTAACAATTATGTAAGGTGGACCCTGACATTTTCGCTCTTCAGAAGCAATGGGAGTCTAAAAAGCGACCCTATTCTTGATAGTCAGAATTTTTCTGTGGACAGGGAAAGATATGGGTTTACCTAGATTATTAAAAGCCTTTCCATTTACAAGATCACGTCGTATCACACATCATCTTCGTCTTCATCTTCCTCGTCAACTTTTATTTCTTCCATCTGTATAATTTTAAATTCATTTGCAGCAGGTAGTGGTGTAGTTGTAGTTGTTGTTGTTGTTGATTCCCAAAGGTGTTTGAATAATAAATATAAACCAACGACAACAACGACTACCAACAGAACCAGAACTGTAATGACGATGTTGTTTGAATTTGAATTATTACTGTTTGTTCAATTGATGATGGGATGAAGTATTGTTGTGGATGATGATGAGAAAGGATCGTTTGACATTGTGGTCGATTCTGAGAAGCTTTCATTATCATCATCATCATCATTAAAATAATCGTAATAAAATTCGCTACTCATTATCTACAACTATTGAAAACAAAATAAAATGCTTTTTAAGATAACAGTTTTAACTGGAACAAAACTGAATTTAAGTAGAACTTTTCTCTGATTTTTGCAGTGGCAGTTTGGGTATGTGTTTAAACTTGACCACTTTCGACAGTTCAATACATAAAAACAAGCTTATAAGCTGGAAGAAGTTGTGTTTGAAGTCGACATTTATAAAACTCACTTTTCTTGTTTCAGATGTTATTTCATTCTTTTATGCTATTTTAATATATGATCAAATGATTAATAAACAATTATTATCAAAATTAAATAATATTTCTTTTTAAACTCCTGTAAAAAGATTTTTCTTTGCAGGGATAAGTACACATCGGTACAAAGCGATGTCAGCCGATTTACAACCAAACGGTTATAACGTCATGTTGACCTGGCGTTTTAACCGTCAGGTTGATACGGTTAAAATGTCAGCTTAGAATGGATAAAACGTCAGGTTAAGAAAAGCATCAGATTTTGACGTTTAAACCATTAGGTTAAAGCGTGCACGTTTTTTACCGTGTAGTATTTATGTGACATTTCAATTAAATACTGTTTGAAATATACTATCAATTGATAGAAAGATTTAATAATCACATCGAAATTGCGTTGTTTGGATCATAATACTAAGTTTTGCTATTGGAACATCTATCTTTTTGACTTTTGCATTTCTGTATTATTTTATCGTCAAAAGGACACAAAAGTCGCAGACTGATGTTCTTCGAATGCCACAAACTTTACATAATCCCGCATTTGAAATAAGTTCTCATTAACGATGCGCTTTATTCATTTTTCTAGTGTACTTGTCTTGTTTTGTAATTCTGTACTATTAGTTTCCGATTATATTATACACGAAAGATCATGCTACCAACATGAAGACGAAAAACAAAGCAAGTTCAAAAGTTAATTTTTTGATGGGTGATAGTTTCAATAGAAGCATGAGAAAAACAGCAGTTAGTTAGTTAGTTAGTTAGTTTATTATTGGACAAACAGTCATGAGTACACAGTAGCACAAGTTAAACACAGCTAATACAGAAATGACTAGAAGAACGTAGTCTGCCGCGGGACACGAAAATAAATGAGCCCGGAAAAAAGAGAGAATTGATCCCGGTTGCTTTAATTAACCAAAAAATGATGGAAATGAGCCCGGTTCAAAAAATAAAATATTTATCTGCACAAAAGAGAGAAATGGGCCCGGTAATTTAGATTTGTTAAATATATAAAAAATTAATCAGTTTAAGAGCATCCTTTTAAAATCAATCTTAGAACCGCGTATATATAATCGTGATTAAAACTAAACATCAGTATGTAGTACATATATAACATTATCAATTTAACCAAAAAATAGCACGCAATTTAATAAATACAAAATAATACTGTTTTTCTTAATCTTTTGTTAAAGCTGTTTTTACTTATTTTGGTCTACCTTTTCCTTTTCTTTGACCAATTATTTGTGGAACAGTTTTAAAACCCCATATAATCATTAAACCGATTGTATGAACACATGAATATTCCTTTTGACCAAAACGACATGTACAGTACCAAGGAGCCGTTATACGTGAAAAATCGACTAAATGCCCTGAATTAAACCAGCTAATATATTCATCATATGAATTCCATGACATTGTATAATACTGTTGAAGCCATACATTTGTATTCATTGTTGAATTTGTAGTTGGTATCACATAACCGGTATTACTTAATCGAATAATTTGACTTTGATCAATCTTCTGTGACCATTGATGTGCCTTTGATTCCAAATCAGCTTCAAAATGAATTGTATGAGCAAATCCATCTGTAGCACTCTTTGTTGACTAATCACGTAACATACGTTCTGCTGTCTGTAGAAATGTGGCCAACGATAATTTATTTCTCATTGTATATGATTGTTTAATTTTGCCATTTAATGATTCGAGACCATTATTTGTTGATGATGCTAAACAAACCGCTCCTTCATACTAAAATGATAAATCATTTATCCATTGTCCTTCAAAATATGTACGGAATCTATCTAGTTGATTGTCTAAACTCCATTTACCTAACAACAAACTTGCTGCTTGATTAAACAAATTATCTTGAAAACATAATTGTAAATTAACAATATCTTTTTCAACATTTAACCATTTTTTTTCATTTGGTATCAATTTTCTATGTTCACGACATTTTCTAATCATATGTGCCCAATACATTAATCTACGACTTTGTGGTATAACTGACATTGCACTTGTAATACCTGTAGCTCCATCATCCATCACATGTGATATCAAATATGTTTGTTGATTAATATTAGACGCCCATGTAGGAACACCTTGAAATAATGTTTTATATGTTGAAGCAGCTTCATCAGATGATACCAAGCATAAGCCAATTGGATGAAAATGACGCTTATAATCTGATGTACCAAATATGAGTATTGGTAAATTATTCCATGTGACTTTGTACGTACAATCGACAGCCAACACTGAAGAACATTTGGTAGTTGATAGTAGTTGACGAGTGGGGATACACACAAATATATTACCAATATCTTTTACTTCATAAAATGGTGCAAAATCCTGATGCAATTGGTCAGCTGGTGGACAATTAATTCTTTCCTTACACCATAATTGTAAATCATCAACAGAAATAATCTGTGTACGGGTTTGCTGACGTGTATATTGTACCACATTTTTAATTTTTGTATCAATTGTTAAATTAGGATGCAATCCTGATACAGCTTTACGAATCTGACCTTGTGTTAAACCTGTATGTGTCATTTCTTGCACAGCAGTACGAATTGGTGATTTAAGACGATTATTTTCTTGTCTTTGACTATGATCATGTAATTCAGATTCAAAAACTGTAAATTTTCCTAACAAACAAATGGGTAAAAAATAGCTATTTTTTAGTTCTCCCTCAAAAATAGTTATAATAAGTTAACATATAATAGTTATACAAAACTTACCATCTAACTGTTTGGCTTTCAATTGATAACGACATTGTGGATATTTTCTATACTCTGAATATTTATATGTTATAGCTACACCACTTCTAAGTTCTTCAGTACGATGTGTACAAACATTTTTTTCTCGAACAAAAACTTTTAGATCGTTTTCAGTATTACATGTAGAACATTCATGCCATAATCTTCGAGTCATAGCTTGTAGAAAAAAATATAAACTAATTCCGGATATCTTCCCATTTTTTATTCCCAATTTATATATATATCCGATGTGTATATAAGATGTGTATATACATGCGCCTTCTAAGATTGATTTTAAAAGAATGCTGTTGAATTGATAATGTTATATATGTACTACATACTGATGTTTAGTTTTAATCACGATTATATATACGCGGTTCTAAGATTGATTTTAAAAGGATGCTCTTAAACTGATTAATTTTTTATATATTTAACAAA